CACCAGGTCACATTCTTCGTAGGCGTAAAAACCTACCTGACAATAAACAAAACTCTGATTCTGATTCTGAAAAAAACATGGCCAGAACCAGGGTGAAAAAAAAAAAACATTACAGGAGGCAAAGAGGCTAAATAAAATCAATTAAAATCATATAAAAGTGAGGTAGAATAAAAATATGACATAAAGAGTTAATGCCAAACTAAAAAGTTGACCACTGACTATGGATTTAAGTGATTTATCCTCTAATTAAAAGCTTAAAGCTAGTAATTAAGTACAATAAAGTAACATAAAATGTAAATATTATCATTATTATTGTATTAGAAATAGACACTGTATTAATATCGGTTGTACAAACGCAGTTATTTCGCTCCTCACTGTCTGAGTGTGAGTTTGGGCCTATATATACTGCCGCTGGGTTAGGCGGCAGGATCTGACCTGATCACCGCTCGGTTATCAGGTCAAGTTCGTCCGCTGGCTGTTGCCGCCCTCTCGCGGACAGCAGACGAAGCACAGTCCCTGTAAAACTACGTAAAATCAACTAGTGTCGATTCGCGGTTGTTTATCAAAAAATGTAAAACCACACAACGACGTCTACCTGTATTTATAAAGTGTCAGTTGTGGTAAAGTTACACGACGTTTCCAGTTCAGAAAGTAGCGCTGTGCCTTTAAAAGCTCCGACGGGGGGGGGTCTTTATTTGGCAGGAAGTTAGCCGCAGCTCACAGGAAGCCGAATAATGAGGACACAGTGAGGTGCAGGAATTGGCAAAGAGCTACGAGTCCAAACGTTGCTCTTTACTCTCTTTAAACTCCCCTTTCTGGTACAGGTAATATAAACTAAAGTGTATTTAATCTTTTAATACGCTGTTCTGTTGATTGTCGTCCGTGTGGAGGGGTTGTTTCCATCGTTGTTGGGGGGGGAGGAAGAGAGAGAGAGAGAGAAAGAGAGAGAGAGTCGGCGCCTTACAGCAGACATGGCTCAGTGTGCTTACATTACTTACAACAGATTAAAAACAAATAACACGAGTGTGGCTGATTGTAGAGTCCAGAGAGGCTTTAATGTGTCTGTGTCTCTGTGTCTTCGTTGCTGCTGTGGCTCAGGTTCACTTTGCATCCTGTCTGCTCTTAATACGCTTACACAAGCTTTTGGAAACGCGTGGAGGATTTGTTCATTTGGGCTCTTGTGTTGCACATACCTGGTTGTAAGCTCACCTGTGACTGGTTATAACCTGTATCAGTAACACAGGTGGAGCCTTCAGACAGGAGCGAAGTGGCACTGCAACTGATTAATGCTTATTGATTAGTATTAAGCAGTAGATAATAGAGCAAATGTTGTTTTCAGGAGGTAAATAATCTTATTGTTTACATCCCGAGATGATTTTAAATATCTATAATGTTTGGAATACTAACTAACTATGTACCTATTGCATTAAATATTCTCCTTCTCTCACACTTTAATCTTTTAATATGAAAATATAGTTTATTTCTACAGATTTTTCCTGTTTGACATTCTCAAGTTTCCACATCACACGTGTTTAAGTTGAAATATTTTACTAATATACCAAACAAGCAGTAATGTCACAAACTCATTCCTTAAACACAAATATAAGTTGAACTTTCAGCAGGTAAATATGAAAGCAGCCGTCTCGTGTTAAACTCTGCTCATCGAAGTGAGTGAAGGGCGACTTAAAAACATTAAATTGTGTTAAACTCATATGGACTAATCCTTGACTCTTCATCTTCTTCACCACAGGAGGAACAAGCAGTCAGCCTCCTGTGTATGAAGACAAGTCAGAGGCAGCTATGGTGAGTAAGAAAGGAGGAAAACAGTAATGTAGCAACAACATTATGATCTATATTTGGTACTTAATAGCCTCCTCCTTGTTTCATTGCTCCTCCTAACCCTCCTCCTCCTCTCTGTCAGTCTTCAGCGGTGGATCTCAAGACGAAGGAGGAGAAGGATGCAGAGTTGGACAGACGAATCGAAGCTCTGAGGAAGAAGAATGAAGCTCTGGTGAAGAGGTACCAGGTACGGAGTGACGTCATAAGATAACTGTCATCAGCGAGTCCTTCAGAAACTCTGAAATGTCTCAAAGTAAATAAATATAGCTTCTATATAACAGCTGGTATTAGGTAGATAGAAGTCAAAAATGTTTTTTAAGGATGTAATATTTGTTTTAAACATCACAACATCACTTTCTTCTTCAATTTTACTCATTATTGTACTTAATATACTTTAATTCAGTCAGTTTTTTTATGTAAACTCAAAAGTTGCTGAGAATTAGTCCAACGTTTGAATTTTAGGACACCGCTTTAGTCTCGTCTCACTGATTCTGTCACTCAACAGGAAATAGAGGAAGACAAGAAGAAGGCAGAGCAGGAGGGCATTGCCGTGACAACGCCTAGGAAGCCCCGTCCTCATGAGCCGGAGACGGACAGAAGGAAGACCGAGAAAGAAAACTTCACCGTCACAGTCGACCTTTCTAAACTGACAGGGGTAAAGACAGGATGTGGATCTCAAACTAAAACCACACCACCAACCTCATGACACCTCAACACACACACACACAGATCCCCTAAAACTGAATAAGACGCAGTGAGAACGTCGACTATATGAGTACTGTGATGCGTGTGTGTGATGTTTTTGTTGTCTGTAGAAGAGATAACCTCTTTATCTATTTCATGACGATGCGGCAGACAGAAGACGCAGCTTATGAACTCTGACAGATTCTCGTTACTGTGATCAGTTTACAAACCACAGGCCTGCCAGTGTACCCATCAGTCCTCTGCCCACTTCTAGTGCTCACTCTTGTGTTACACGTGTAGGCTGGCATATAGGAGAACGTAAGATATATATATATATATATATATATATATACACATTTTACATCCTACATAAAACATACTGTATAAAAAAAGAGGAGGGGAAGCACATGAATCAGATACATAAAGATTAAACTTCTTCCTCATATCGATGCAAAAAATCCTTTAAGATCCTGCTGTAGAGTTCACCACATTGCTCGTAATGGCGTAACAACAGATTCTATAGTCTGTAGAAAAATACAATATGCCAATAATATTAAACCAATGGGCTGAAACGGACTCTAAAGCTCCGTAAAGCTGCGGAGAGATTCAGATAAATCTCTGAAGGTACTTTCACATCATCACGCTGTCATTACAATACATTGTTACTGTAAAACTACAGATTATAGCCACTTTAAATAACCACCGAATACAGCTGAATGAAGACGGTAGTAATTAAAATTTGTAGCAGGATTTTAATCAACCTCCTGCAGACGGCAGCAGGACAGTTGGTGCTAATCAGGTCCAGGAGGGACAGCACAGTGCAGATTGCCTCAGAAACAACCAGTGACGACAGCAGACCCCTGATGTTCAACCTGCAGAGGTTAAAAGACAAAGAAGGGCATGAAAAACAAGAGTGGGGGGCGTTCACTCCACATGTGTACCTGTCTAAATGGATATTGATTTAGGGGCAAAAGGTCAAATTCGGTTCATTAGTCTGTTAAACCTTTTCTAAAGCTTGACAACAGTCTGCTGATCCCTCTGCTTAAAGAGCTCCTTGAAAAACTGATTGCTCGCTCCCTTCTTCATCACCTCTCAGCCTCTCTCTCTCCGAGTTCATCATGTTGTAGTTTTACATAATCCATAGCCCTTATTAGCCTTTTGTACTTATTGTATGGCATCAGCCCTTGAGATTGAGTAGATTTAGTCTGTTTAAATTAAAGTACAGAGGTTCAGTTCAGGACAGGATATTATTTTTTCCCCCTATTGGCCAACTGGCTGCTGGATTTTAAGAGCTCACAGACCTTCAGCACTTCATTACCAGACAAATGTAATAAAGCATGATAGTGTGTGCGCATCCACAAACCCTCAGTGGGATAGTTACCGGATATGTTTTAGATTGCAGTAAAGTAATGAACAGTGGAACCAACCAAATATAACAGCATCAAATGGAAATGTGCACTTGTTTCCTGCAGGAGAAGAGAGTTGTGAACGACTGGAAAACCGGTGGGCCTCGTGGCCGGAAGACCTCAGAGGAGAGCGATGGGCATGGAGGGCCGGGCGACGTCCACAGGGCGCC